ATCCTCGACTTCTGCCCCCCGCTGCTATTTCCCCTGCCTGCTGTCTCCCGTCCTCCCGTCTACCATCACGACCTCCTTATCGGGCCGCGCGACATCTGAACCTCGAGATCGCACCAGACTTCTTTCGCCGTGCGGAGGGCAGGTCATTCCGGAAACTCGGAATCTCCTCTACCATGCAATCGTACTGGGAACGATAGCTAAACCGTCCCGAAACTCGCTCGAGAGTCCCCTTTATTCCACGTGAATGGCTTTTAATCGATTTACAAGGGTGCCTCCTCACACAGGACATTCGTATCCAACTTCGGAAGTATGTTCTCTATCGCAAAGAAATCTCGACGACTTCGGGAGAGATCGAACAATTAATTTTATCACATTTATCGCTGTCTATTATCATCGACCTCTATCAATGTCTATCGATATTAAAATTGCAAAGCTCCTCAACTTATAAATTTGGCAACTTATAAACAAAACATCAGAGTCCCATTGATATAAACAACTCGGTTAAGTAGATAAGATTAAGAATCATGTCGTGACACGCGTGTGAAATTATCTTTTCGTTTATTTAGATCTGTTCGTTTGGACCGTTTTAATTTCCCGCGACTACTTCCTTTTCTTTTTTACGAGACAATACAAATTATCTCTTGCGAAAGAGGAGCATCGGTAGATTATTATCACAGCGAAGAGAAGAGGCTACGTAGAGCTCTTCGCGGCGAAGGATCTCTCGAGTAAATTTCTCGGGAAGGATCTTCCCCCCCGCTCGGTCATACTTCTTCGTAAGTATTCATACGGGAGAGTCCTCGATCCTCGAACATTCGGTAGAACTTTCATTGTTCCTCCGCGATCGCTGTTCATCATTGGCGGGACGGCGAGCTAGTGTCTCTAGGTACATACATATATGTCCTTGTAGGTGCGCGAAGGGGCAGGGGATCTGGTAAAGGAGGGGGGGAGGGTGAAAGTGCGGAAGGATGAAGGAAGACGGTCGAAAGTTTCGCGAGAGAAAAACGACGCGGACGACTCGAGTGGGCGAACGGCGCTACGTGTCCAAGAAGACGTCCAGGAAGAAGTTGGTCTCTTAATGCCGACGTTAGAGCTCTTCATCTTCGACGAATCCTCCGAGTATCCTCGGGGAGGGATCCGACAAAATTTCGCCCATCGTGGATGGTCGCGCGTCGAAGGAGTCGTTTGTAACGTCCGCGACCCTCTTTAATCCACGACTGGAGACGCGCGACGACGAATGGCAAGATCCGAACGAATGGGGAAGTGGAAATCGCGAATGAATAATCAGCACGAGAAGTGAAAAATCCTCAGCGACGATGAGAAGACCGCGATTACGACGGGATGACGAGAGACAGACAACTCAAGCGACATCTTCTAATCGTCCCTCTCTCTTGCTCTCTCTCTCTCTCTCTCTCTCTCTCTCTCTCTCTCTCTCTCTGTCTGCCTCTCTGGAAATGCACGAGAGCGGAATAATATGGAGAAATACGAAGCGATAATGGATAGTAATTGAGGTTACTCAAACACTCAAAAGTTTATACTGTGGTGGATTCGTCGGAAATGTTACCACGTTTGCATTCGCTTCTGTCGGCTACACGGCTCTCGGCCATATGACCAATATTTGGAAAACATCCGTAGACAAATTAATCACCAATTTCGCCTATGGAGCAGCGCCGAGTGGCTGAATTGTATTTAAGACGATGAAATTACGCGGGAGCGAGCGGATATCACGGAACGAGACATAGAATTTCAATGACAATTCGCAATTAAAAACAGTACGAGCGTCTCCAAAGAAGCTCGAGCGCGTCTTTGGGCGCAATCTTGGGCGAGCAAAAGCGTAAGTACTTGCCAAAGTACTTACGTACACAAAAGACGTCTAGCGTGGGAGTAGAGAAGGAAGAAAAAAGAGACAGAGAGAGAGAGAGAGAGAGAGAGAGAGAGAGACAGAGGAAGAGCAAGAGAGGGTCAATCGTGGATGGCTGGCGCCCGATAACTGAATTTCCCCGTGTCTTCCCCGTGTTTCCGTGATCGATCGCGAGTAGTCGGTCGGCGATCAAAAGTCGAAAAATTCTCGCCGTGGGGGCGAGCGAGCGAGGTCCCGGTCCAATTTGATTTGCAAGCAAAGTGCGCCGTGGAACTGCTCGGCGAAAGAGAGAGAAAGAGAGAAATAGAAAAAGAGATAGAGAGTGAGAGAGATCAGCAGGATGGAGGTTGTGAGGATCTCGAAGGAAACCTGGGATACCCTAGAAAGAGAGAGAGAGAGAGAGAG